GATTAAAGTGGCATGGCATACCATTTATCAATCAATTTACTCAATAAAAAGAAAAAGAAAAGAAAAGAAAGGAAAAACCACACGATAATGATAGAGCAGAGCTCCACCCTGTCTCCTCTTCTTGCTCTGCTCTGCTCGAACCAACCGCAGACCGGAGCCACGCTCGCCGGCCGGGGCACCTCCTCCTCCTCCGCCGCCGCGCTGATTCATCCCTCCCTCACTTCAAGCCTCTACTGCCCCGCCAGTCTCCCACCGTCGCGACGCCGCGGTCGAGGGGCTAGTCTGCCTTTCCTGGCGCCGCCGGAGGGAGACGACCGCCCGCGACCGGAGCAGACGAGGGAGGCACGCGCGACCGGGAAGGCGCTGCTTTCGCTCGAGCCGTACGCCGACGCCGGTGGCCACTCCGGTAAGCGCGCAGCGCGACTACATGCTCCTTCCTTACTCTTGTCAATGTCCTCTCTGCATCTACACTACTAATTACTCTGAATCTTAAACTCAAGGCAAGCCAAACTTTGGGTAGTCATTTATATGCACCGCCTAATTTGTCTGCCTCCACGTAGAGGCAAAAAATGTTTCCTTGCTGAAGGCAACTGTCTGAAATTAACTGTAATCCTATTCCATCTGGCTACTCCAGCATATTCAAATAGCATCATTACTGACAAAACACCTATACAGCAGATGGGTATTCCTATCTGATGGCATGGCACGCACTAAGAACTCACCGCTACCTGATGCCTTGCCTCCCACCGGCGGCGACCAACTAACTGAAGCTCCCTGGAGTCTGTTTTTCGCTGTCAACATTGCCTCCTCACGGCTTTGCCGGTAAGAGTGGTTGGTTACCTTTCTTCTGTCAAAACGTGAACGTCTCATCAAATGAGGCTGACTTGGTGATTCTTGTGTTTCATGGAAAATTTTAGTTTACCCTATGTTCATAAGAAAATGGTCCTTGAGATGTTCCAATCACATGAAATTTCATCATGTTTGTTTCCTAAATGGAGTCCCAGCATTTCATCCGCCTGAGATCTATGCAACTGTTAAGCCACATATAACTGAACAATATGTCTTCCTTATTGCAGTATTATAAGCTCAAGTGCATGATTTGCATGCATATCTTTGGAGAACCTGTTGCTGTTATGCAGATTGAATGGGCAGCTTTATTACTCCTGCTGACAACACTTGTTTTTCTCGAAAAGGTGCTGACAGCGCTCGTGCAGCAGCCCTGCTGAACCCAAAATGGCGGCCTTGCCACTGGCCACCGCGGAGGTCTGCGACGCAAACTCACACATGATCACCAGCGGCGAGCTCCGCGCGCTGCAGCCCGTCTTCAGGGTCTACGGCGGGCGGCGGCTCTTCGCCGGTCCCGTCGTGACAGTGAAGGTGTTCGAGGACAACGTCCTGGTCCGTGCGCTCCTGGAGGAGAAGGGCCAGGGCAGGGTCCTGGTGGTCGACGGCGGCGGCAGCCTCCGCCGCGCCCTCCTGGGGGGCAACATCGCCATGCTGGCGCAGAACAACGGGTGGGCCGGCATCGTGATCAACGGCTGCGTCCGGGATGTTGATGAGATCAACGAGTGCGACATCGGCGTGCGGGCTCTCGGCTCGCACCCGATGAAGTCGGACAAGAGGGGGATGGGCGAGAAGCACGTCCCGGTCACCGTTGCTGGTACCAGGATCTGCGACGGCGAGTGGCTCTACGGCGACGCCGACGGTATCCTCGTCTCGAGGACCGAGCTCAGCGTGTAGTGCAGGCCTTCCAGTTGCCTGTGTTGTTCCTCTCTGTGTATGCATTTACTTGTGTGTAAAATGATGTATGTATGAACGGATGAACTGGGCTCTGCACAAAACAGAGGACGTCTGTTGCTGCTTCAGAACAGAAGCTCTGATATCTGAACTTGAGATGCCAGGAGCTCTCAACTGAACATGTAAATAACAATGGCAGGCTTGCCTTGCTTGATCAAATGAAATGAACAATGGGGAATTGGGGATAATAATACTAATACTTATTGGATGGCTTCATTGCACTGTCAAGTTTCTGTATTATGTTGTGCTGAATGAACCTTATTCAGAGTTCAGGCTGATAATGATGAGATTGTATGCACATGTGTTCTATGATGGAGCAAAGTGAAGCAGATCAAACAATGTGCTTATGTTAATCTTGATGGAGATCCTAGAAGTAGTAGATGTTTGCACTGCACTGTCAAAATGTGTGTCATGTTCTGTCAGCAGTCCGGTAGTGAGGCAGAGCAGAGCAAACAATACTCTGCTACTCCACCAACCAAACCCCCCTTCGACCCCCACACCCACGCCGCCCCTTCCCAAAGCGAATCCGGCGCCGCCGCCGGCCGCCGCCCCACGGCCCGCTCCCAGCTCGAGCATATCCTACCTAGGGGAAACCGCCGGCGGGCGTAAGAAAAAGATGCTCTTTTAGGGGGAAACCAGCCAGCCCTCGTCGCCATGCTGGTGCTGGCGCTGGCGCCGGGCGTCAGGCTCTAAATCCACCTAGGGTTTCGGCCGGCGGCGATGCGGGCATACTCCGCCGGCGCCGGGGCCGGGGCAGTCTTCCTCGGCGACGGCGACGTCGACCCCGAGGCCCTCACCGAGGAGGACAGCCTCGTCGGCGGCGGCGACTCCAACTCCGTGGTAACCTCCCCCCCTCCACTGAACCCATGGCTGGTTAGCTCGTTCCAATCGGTGGTGAAACCCAGTGTTGCCCGGAGCAGAGCAGACTGGCTTCAACCTCTAGTGAGCCTGGGGTTGGATTTGTAGTGCTACAAGCTATGCTTTTCTTGTTAGGATTTGTCCATTTTTACCATGTGTTTCATTGTAATAACCAGCATGTGAACCTGAATGCATAATGACAAAGTAAAAAAGGCTCTGTTCATTGCTGGGCATTTACTTCGAAAAATGCTGTGTATTTAAATGCACATAAGTACAAGGTTTCCGTGCCAGAAATTTTGCCTTTGGTTTTGTGGAATGGGGCGGTAGGGAAGTGTCATTTTGTATTTTTCAAGGTAGACAGTTGGCATTTACTTTGACCGGCCAAACATGCGGAGGTAGGAATGTGTTGTTTTGTGAAATTAAAACATTCTGTGTATTTTTTTATTTTTCAAGATTGACTGTTGGCAGTTACTTCGACCGACCAAAAATGGATGCATATCCTTTAAATGCCCCAGAACAGCATGTTTCTTGTAACAAAACACAACGTCGTGGTTTTGAGTGTTGACCGTTGCTTTATCTGCTAGGATTGCTTGCATGGATCATACAGCAGCTCTTTGAGCCTCCACGGTGTCAGAGTTGACGACGAGCACTCGGCTCTTGAGAACAGCAGCAGGCCTCCTAGTCATATTAATATCCTAACACCACAAGGTACAACTCTTCGAAATTCATCCTGCTCTGTCTGCTGTTACTGCTTTCTCTGTGCCTGATTTCCCTCTTCATTACAGATGTTGTGCCCATCGAAGTGGCACGGTCTAGGTTCCTGGACATCATCATTGACCATTTTATTGGCCAGAATGTTATTGAGGTGGAAGAACCCTCTCTCTATGACTCTATCCTGGCCAGCAATAGAATCAACAAAAGAAAGCAACAAGAGGTGCAATACGAAGGCGACCCGAGGTTTGCTTTGCCCTTGATGTACATAGCCAACTTGTACGAGTCTTTGGTGAGCGACGTCAATGCACGTCTTGCTTCCTTGACCGGATCCCGTGAGAAAACTATTGGGGTAGCTCTTGAAGCTGCCGGCGGCTTGTACAGGAAGCTGACCCAAAAGTTTCCCAAGAAAGGTATGATGATGATTAGTGAATGGAAATTTGTATTTGGTCGCGCCCACTCTACTCTGGTTATTTGTTCTTCTCATCCGAGTCTCCTTTGGTGTTATGTGGCAGGAAATTGTAGCTTCAGGAGGAGGGAGCTGGCTACTTCTAATGCAACAAAGACCAAGTTTCCTGAACTTGTAGTGCAGGAAGAAAAGCGGGTCCGTTTTGTTGTAATCAATGGTTTGGTGATCATAGAGAGGCCAAATAATATGAGAATGCAGGATGCGGAATGGTATTTTCTCTGATTCACCCTGTATTTCCTTCCTTATGCATCTGTTGCTTGTTCACTTTTTCTGTATTATCATATCTTGGGAAACTTTTGTTATACTCCCTTCAGTGCTACTCCTAGATATTATCAAGCCATTTCTGAGTAACCCTTTCTTATACTCCCTCATTCCGTAGTAGTTTTCGCTGAAACGGATGTATCTAGACGTATTTCAGTGCTAGATACACCCGTTTGAGCGACAACTAATATGAAACGGTGGGAGTAGTAAATATGGACTTGAAACTGATAAGTTCCTTGATAATATTTCTTACTATAAACGATGCTCTCTTGTAAATTGTGTGAAAGTTACTGTTTTCATAAGCCAAAATACTGCATATTCTTGAATTGGTGGCCCAGTTACAAAAAAAAACTTTTCCTTTGACCAAATTCTGCTTCTAGAAACCCTTCCTTGTTTTGAACTTACAGACTCTGTATTAAATATGCACTCGAAACAGATACATTGCTTTGTAATATTTCTTACTATAAACCATCGTCTCTTGTAAGTGGTGTGGATAAAGTTACTGTTTTCATAAGCCAAAATACTGCATATTCTTGAATGACAGACTCCGTTCCTTTGTTGGCATTTCCTTGGAACAAATCATATATATTTTGTTTCCTTGCTTAAGGTAACTATAAGAAATTGACTGTATTCTTGTCCGATTGCTTTCAATATAGGATGAATTATGAATACGAAACTTCAGAAGTTTGCTAATATAACCAAATCTTCAGTTAATTAAATTAATTATAATTATAGGCAAAAGCTTTATTTATCCTCACTTTTCCACTTTGACTCTTGGTACCCTCTGATATGCCATGATTTATGTATTTCTAAGTCTTGATTTTTTTTTTCTAAATGTGCAGGTTCAAAAGATTGACCGGTCGAAATGAAGTGGCCATTTCATCTAGAGATTACAAATTCTATTCACCTCGACACAAGTACAGGCGTACCCTGCAGCCAGTATTTGACATTCCTGGCACGTCCGTAAGTGTATACTGGATTTAAGATTCTAAGGTTGCAGCTAAACCAATTCCATTATTCATTTAATTGGTTCCTCTGTCCAGGTTTTGTCAGAGGATGAGACTTCTCCATTGGTTTGTTCTTCAGAATTTCGTCCACCATTCGAGGTAACTCTTATCTTTTGATACCTGTCATGACTAGTGACAATATCCCAAATTCACAGTGACTTCTCCGGTCCTTCTACTTTGTTAAATGAGATTATTTTTTTCTGGTTCATCCACCTTTTCAGTTGGTCACCACTAATAGCTTGCTCTCTTCCAGATGCAAAACCAACATGAGTCATCATCGAAGCGACACATTGAACAGATAGAAAGTCAACCTTACTTGCACTTTCTCGATCAAGCAGAGCATGACAACATCCAGCAAAACCAACATAGTTCTCAGTTCCCTCCCATTCATCCATGTGCATCGTCCTCGCAACTGTCAGATAACCCCCAGCAGCACCAGTCCTATCTATCTCCGCATCTATCTTCCATGCAAGCTGGACACAACCACCTTGGAGGACGCTCGAATATTCTTGTGAGTGAATCTTTATTTTTAGTACTGGCCAAGTCACATGCCAAATATAGTACTCCCTCTGATCCATATTACTTGTCGCTCAAATGGACGGAGGGAGTAGTATCAAAACGTTCATCATGCAGTAATTAGTTGCAAGTCATCCTGTCTGTCTGCACTGCATTATTTCGACAGCTGAACAAAAACAGAAATCTACTTTTAATGTTCAAATCAGGTGCACTGTTATTGAATTGTCTTGATGGCATGTTTTGTATTTCAGCCAAGCAGCCCTGCAAAGTTCTGCGACGAGTGCGGTTCGCCGTATTTAAGGGCGACATCCAAATTCTGTTCAGAGTGTGGCACCAAGAGGCTAGGGATCTGACTGAGTGATGCATAGTTAAGCAATTTTGTCGCAGTTTGATGTTGTTCCTTTTTTCTGCGGGGAGTTCGATGCTGTTTCGGCCATGATGCAGAACCCTGTAGAATGGGTTTTGGTTGTTGTAACTGAACTTGAGTTCACTCTTGCTTCCTTCAATGGAAATGTATATCGATGGATGTGACTCCCTCATTTATTAACTGTTGTGCCTTACTATGATCTATATACTTTTTCTTTAAGTGAAAACAATTTATGGAATAAGTGGAATATATTTAGCCGTTGTAGTCAGCAGCATACAGTTTACAAAAAAATGAGCCATTTGCTTTGTGTAAATCGAGAGGAATTTTGCATATCCATTTTATCACTTTCATTCTAAAATTGTCTCCTGGTGCAGAATCTCATAAAATTACATTACTTGTCAAACAAGTCATGAACCATTGGTCTTATATTTGAGACCGAATTAACACACCACAAATTGGTCGTCACTTATTTCTTGAGCAAAATATTTTCTTTACCAAATTAACTTGAAGCCATTTGTTCTATCACTTGCCATCTCATGCAACTCCATGTCAATCTCCTTCAGAGCGTCCTTGATGCTCGACAGCTTCAACTCGAGCACCCTCAACCCCTTGGTGGCGCGAGCCCGCTCCATCTTTGCCGCCTCTATTCCTTTGTGCAGGTGATCTGCTTTCTCGAGAAGGGTGAGGAGGCTGTCGGCGCGCTCGCGCATGAAGCCAACGTCCATGCCCATCATCTCAAGGACTCCAGGGCCTT